TCGTATATATATATAAAACAGTAAAAAAAACTGTAGCAAACAGAAACTGGAAATATATAAAAAGATCACAATGTTTTATTAGTTTAACACTAAAAACAAATGTAATTTTCCACTTCAATGTATGAAAGGGGAAAATTTGTCCTTTGTGTAAGTGTTAAAATTCAACATTGAGGAGCACCTGGGTGGCTCAGTCAGTGAATGGAGTCCAGCAACAGGCTCCTTGCTAAGTGGGGAGTCTGCTTCTCTCTCTCCCTCTGCTTGTGCTCTCTCTCAAATTAATAAATTTTTTTAAAAAAATAAAATTCAACATTGATTTTTTTTACTATTTTTTATTTTATTTTATTTTTTAAAGATTTATTTATTCATGAGAGAGGCAGAGACACAGGCAGAGGGAGAAGCAAGCTCCATGCAGGGAGCCTGATGTGGGACTTGATCCCCGGACTTCAGGTTCACGCCCTGAAGGCAGACACTTAACCGCTGAGCCACCCAGGCATCCCAACATTGATATTTTTTTAAAGAGGAAGCACATTTTATCTTATTTATTTGAGAGACAGTGAGCACATGCGCATGTACATAAGCAAAGGGGAGAGGGGCAGAGGGAGAAGTGAAGCTCAAGCATACTCCCTGCTAAGCACAAAGTCCAAATGCTGGATGGATCCCACAACCCTGAGATCATGACCTGAGCTGAAATCAAGAGTTGGATGCTCAAATGACTGAGCCACCCAGGCATCCCAAATTCAGCATTAATTCTTGAAGAAACTTGCAGACCAACAGGAAATAAAGGGGAACTTCTCCAATCCGAATGAAGGGCACTGAATGAAGGGCATAAACAACAGCAGCAATAAAACCTACCAGAGAGAGCTTATTTAATGGTCAAAGTCTGAAAGGAGTCCTTCAGATTTGCGATGAGACAAAAATGTCCAGGACTGACACTACTTTTATTCAGCCAGTGCTGAATTTTCTTTAGCCAGTGTGTTAAGGGGGGAAAAAAAAGGAAATTAAGAGAGAACTAAAATTTATTGTGTACAGAAATCCAGAAGATTTACAGATTAAGAATTGCTGGATTGAAAAATAGAGATAAAATTAATTGTGTTTCTTTATACTGGTAAATAATTTAAAAAATACAAACTTTATAATAATTCCATTTTTCATAGCTTCCTAAAATACTATGTATCTAGGAATAAATCTTTTTTTTTTAAAGATTTATTTACTTGAGAGTGAGAGAGTACATGCACAAGCACAGAGGGAGGGGGGAGAAGGAGACTCCCCACTGAGCAGGGAGCCTAATGTGGGGCTTGATCCCAGGACCCTGGGATCATGGAGCCAAAAGCAGACGTTCAACTGACTGAACCACCAAGATGTCTCAATGAATAAATCTTCTAACAAAAGCTTGCAAAACCATTATAAGGAACACTGTAAGACTTTACTAAAAAGAGCTGAAGACCCCACCTCATGGGGCACCTGGGTGGCTCAGTCAGTTGAGCATCTGCTCTTGGCTCAGGTCATGATCCCAGAGTCCTGGGACCAAGCCCTGCCTTGGGCTCCCTACTCGGTGGGAAGCCTGTTTCTCCCTTTGCTTGTGCTCATAAGCTCTCCCTCTGTCAAATAAATAAATAAAATCTTTAAAATTAAAAAAAAAAAAGAACCCCACCTCAAACCACACACAAAAGGCAATTCATGTAGATTAGTCACTTGTGGAAGGCAAGATAGTAAAACTCAGGATATAGGAACAGACTTTTATATCCAAAATAATAAATTCAACTGTATTAAAATTAACTTCTGTACATAAATTGAAAAGAGCAGACCCCCTCAGAGGAAGACACAAAACCTAACTAGTGGTATCCTACTTATCACTGATAAAGAATTCCTAAAACAAGACAAAAACAAGGCAGAAAGGGACACCTGGCTGGCTCAGTCAGTAGAGCACGCAGGTTTTGATGTCAAAAAGTTCTGAGTTCAAGGCCCATGATGGGTATAGAGCCTACCTTATAAATGTCTAGAAAAACAGAACAAAACAAAACCTGTAAGCTAGACAACCAAATGGAGAAGACAAGGGGTTGTTCTGTTCTAGATCAATTTCTTTGGCTAATGTAAAAATTCTATGTATAATGTGTGTGTGAAAAAAAATATATATATATAAAAGATTTTAACAGGCACTTCATGGAAGATGAAAACAAGCTACCAACCACCACCAGACTGCCAGGAGTAAAGTGGGAGGGAGCACGTGGAAGAGAGTACACCGAAAACAGTGGAAAGCATGTGAGTGAGCACAATCCTGTTAGAACAGTTTGCCATCAATCTAGTAAAAGTCAAAGATACACATGCCCAGGGATCCAGCAGTGATGGCCTTTTTTTGGGTCCACAATGCCCAAAATAAAAGTTAATTTGGAGAGAAAATGCCTAAGCAAAGATGTATGAAGTCTTAATCCTATGGCATTTTTTAGTTCTACTAATTCACTGGGGGCTCTGGAGTCTTTAGAGAGTGGGAAGGACACAGTCTCTGTGAAGTTCCCTCATTAAAGTTGTGAAGCCAAGCCTGGATCAGGATATATAGAGTCCAATCTTCAAGATACAGAGCTGGCTACTCCCAAGCAGGGCTGAAGAGGCACACATGGCCTGTTCCCACAGATTCTGGTTGAACTGGTAAAAATAACCGCAATTTGGGAACAGATAACATTTATCCATACACACACTGCTGCAGGCAAGGCCTGGGGTCACCCTGAACTTAAAATTCACCTAATGGATGCTCCTTGCCTTGAGTCAGTACTACAATTTTTTCCAAGTAGATATGCTTAGAGTGAGAACTTCAGCCTCACATGCATTTCTCACTATAAATTTAAAAACTGGCATTTGAAATTATTAAAATAAACAACAAAAAGTAGAGAATGAGTAGAATCAGGGGTGCTATAAAGTCCAAAGCAATTATTTTATAGCTGGGAACCTGAGACCACGGTAAGCTAACTTCTATGATTAAAATGACCAGTACACCTGGGACCAGAAAGCCAAGACCCCTACTTCCCAGACGGGTCCCTGCTTTCCCCATCGCCGGCCTCTGGCCAGCCATCCACTCCCAGGACAGCTCCCCCAACCCTAACAGTCCTTCTACATCTCCTGATGGCTCTCCATGCCCAGGGAAACACAAAGAAGGTAAGAAAGGTCAGGAAGAAGCCCAGCAGGAAGGGCAGTCTAATTAATAATAGTAATAATAATAACAACAACAACAACAACAACAAATCCAAGGCATGAAAGCAACTTTAGATGGCGTGTCACACAACAGAAGTCAATCACTGCCTCCTCGAGGGCTGGAAGGTTTTTTTTTTTTTTTTTTTTTTTAAGATTTTATTTATTTGAGAAACAGAGAGAGAGAGGCAGAGACACAGGCAGAGGGAGAAGCAGGCTCCATGCAGGGAGACCGACATGGGACTCGATCCCGGGTCCCCAGATCACACCCTGGGCCAAAGGCGGCACTAAACCACTGAGCCACCTGGGCTGCCCGAGGGCTGGAAGGTCTTAGAAGCAGAATCCTCCCAGGGCTGCAAGTGGGGACTGAGCATCAGAGAAAATACGGGCAAATACGAGCATTAGCTGCCTTTCCTTTGGGATGGGCTATATTTATGTGTATGTGTGCCTGTATGTGTATTTATACAGACACACCACAGGACACCCTGGCGGTTTTCAATCAAGACCCAAGTCTAAACCTAAAATCTGTCAAGACAGTTCCCCATCATCACCCTTTTCTTTTTTTTTTTTTTGAGTGAACAATTTTTATTGAAACCTTCTTTTCTTTTAAAGAAGACTGAAGGGATGCCTGGGTGGCTCAGTAGTTGAGCATCTGCCTACAGCTCAGAGAGTGATCCTGTGTTTCTGAGATCAAGTCCCACATCGGGCTCCCTGCACAGAGCCTGCTTCTCCCTCTGCCTGTCTCTGCCTCTCTCTCTCTGTGTCTCTCTCGTGAATAAATAAATAGATAGATAGATGATAGATAGATAGATAGATAGATAGATAGATAGATAAAAAGTTTGAAGCTTCTCAGCACAACCCTATTCTGAAATTTTTTAAGCACAATCAGAATATGGCCAGACTAGTGGGCTCCAAGGCCAGAGGAGACTCAGTTTTTACCAGCTCCATCCTCGGCAGCACCTACCTCCCACTCACTCCACTCCACAAACTGCACATCAGATCAGAAATTGCTAAAGAGGCACCCTTGAGAGGCAGATGTAGCTTTCAGGTACAGGTCTGTGGGCTGAGCAGACACCAGGACCCACACACAGGCGTGCCCCCCACATTGTATAGCGGGTCTGAGGGAACCACTCCTCTACATGTCCTCCACCCAGACCAGGTCTCCTTCCTCGAGGGCCACCCAGGACAAGTGTGCTCTTTGCCAGGGTCCAAAGCTGGTGCCACAGGAAGGGGGCACCAGCAGCTTCCCAAGCCCCATCCTCCCTAGAATCACAACACAACCAAGCCTCCCAGCAGTGATGCAGGGTGCCTGCATCCTCTGAGGCAGCTGTGCCTCCAGACTTCCCAGCGGCAGTGCCAAGTTCGTATCCTCCCCCACCCCCCAGCAGCTGTGAGGATGTAACACATTTACTGGGCACCACCCTAGGTGCTAGGCACTCAAATACAGGATGATTTTTAAGCCTCACGATGCCCTACTGGCATGGAAGGCATGTCCCCATTCAGAGTGAATGTGGCTAAGTAACTTGCCCAAAGTCACACAGGTGGTACACAGTATAGAACAGGGGACTACAGAGGCAGGCTCTTGGGGTTCTCCCCACACGGCTTCCCTGACAGCTGGGGCCAAACCAGGGTCACACAGATTTATGGTCCACAGGCAACAAAGCCACAACAAATGATTTTCCAGAAACACTTTCTATCTTGGGCTCTAGTCACTCTGGTTTCTTCAGTATAAACCATAACTTGTGACCAAGGTCTTCAGAAGTTGGTATTGGCCAAAGGCCAACAGCCAGGAAGTTTCAACCACTCGCTCCAACACTTACCACGACAGAGTCATTGTGAGTCAGGTCAACAACCACAGGCTCTAACGATTCACAGGTGAGGTCCACTATTTCATCTCCAGCTTTAAAATAAAGCATTTTAACAAGCATTAAGAGAAAAGTAAAGGCATGTTGCTCTAAGCTTCACTAAATGATTACAAATGGAGCACAGGCTTACACCAAACTAAATTCCCCCCAAAGGACAGAATGAAGAACATCAGGTCTAGTCCCTTTTTCAGGGGTGACAGCCAACGAATGCCTTTCCAGGATTTTGCTGAGTGGTGGTCTGTGGATTTTACAACTACACCAAAGGGAGGGGCCCTTTGTGCACACACACCTGCATCCCTGTGCAACTACACCAAAGGGAGGGGCCCCTTGTGCACACACACCTGCATCCCTGTGGCCTCACTGTCATACAACTAGGCCTCCATGCCCCCACCTGCCCCTGCACAGGGGAGAGGCAGTGACCTACCTCGGAGTGCTAGGGGGCGTCCGGGGAGAGGATCAGGCATGTTCATCTCCTCAAGGCCTTTCTCTTTGGGATACACCCGCCTTAAACCTCCTCCTCCGGGCTGCTGCTCACCTACAGGCCTCATCAGGCTCAGTTCTATCTCTCACCAGTTAGATAATCCTCTCCATGTGGCTCTCAAGCAGGACAAGGGTGGTATTTACTGATCCCTTAGACTCCCAACAAACCCCAATGGGCTAGGCCTGTTCAGCATGCCTTGGGCCCTAGACTACACTGTGGTGTCTATGTGAACACAGAATGGCGGGGGAAGGGCAGAGGTATCGGTGAGGCACTTCTGTGAGGTAGGTAAGAATGAACAGCAGAGGACAACTTTCATTTATATGAACCAAAAAAATTACCATCATTTTTGCTTCTATCATAGCACTAAAGAAGTGTTTATAAGAATAGAGTTTTTTAAAGTAGTTATGTTGGGGGACAGTAAGTCGTAATACATTTAGCAATTCAAACTTGCTTTATTTTTTCATATTAAAAAGTTTCACAGAAATAAAAACCACAGTATAGGAGAGAGATCCAAGGTACCTTACACAAAATGACCTCTTCCTTTTTAAAGACTAGCCCAGACACCAATATACTCTAAGTCACAGAGCCATTCTCGTTCCAGTAGACACGATTTCTGGCTCTCAGAAACAAAAGCATGTGCACACAGCCCTGCACACATGGTAAGGCAGACTGTGGGGACAGAAGGGATATGCTGGAAGCAGTCAGGCTCAAGATCCTGACATCCCTCAAGAGACCACTTGTGGGCCTCATGTCCTGATCAAGGAGCCTCCTATGCCAGCATCTCCTGAAAGATGGCAGAGTTCAGACGCCAGGGCATCAAGTTTGGGGTGGAGGGGAGGGTACAGCAGGGTGGCCAGAGGCTCAGCCTCCAGGCTTCTGGGGATTCACAGAAGTGAAATTCAGGAGACACAGAGATGATAGTGAGAACACTTCTCAGAAGGGCCCACGAAATCGACCTCAAGACAAGCTGCTTCTCTCTACACATCAGTTTTCAGGCATCATACTCATTGAAACAATATGAATACATGCAGAGCAAAGGGACTCAACTCAGGCCATCTGCCATCTCCCTTAGTAGGCAGAGGGGGGTAAAACTCAATCAGGCCTCTGCCTATAGCAGCTCCCTCCAACACAGGTGGCTCTGTCCACAGATACACCTCCTTGGGAAATTTTGTCTCGATGAAAAAGAGAAAAGGAAAGTGGAGTCCTTCAGGAGGTCAAGCAAACTGGAGGTCCAGTTTCAAATAGAAAAGGTGGGCCAGGGCAGTGTCACCTCCTCTGCAGCCTATTCCTGGAAGGCTAAACAGTTAGCCCTGCTAAACGGCTGTCAAAACCCATGGAGAAGGCAGGCCCTGCTCAAGTCAGCGGTCAGTTTTGGGTGGAGGGTGAAGTCTTACAATGGTACGGACAAAAGCTAACCCATATACAGTGTTAGCTGACAGGCCTAGAGCTAAATGTTGATCACAATGAGAACTCCACACAGGAGGACTAGGACTGACCCACTCAGGGGTCATGAAGGCTCGGACACGTGGTGTGCCTCGCACAAGGCCCTACGGCTGAGAGGCACCAAGTGATAGGCACACCCATGCACGCTGCACCACACCAGCAACCCATGGTCACGGCCTTCCTGGAGATCTTACCACTTTCCACAAGTTCTATGGGTTCTGCTTCCAAGGCCATCTCAGGGGTGGAGGCTGCTTCCCGAGTTCGCTTCTGGGCTTGTCTAGAATTTACTGTGCCACCACGACGCTTTCTCTGAGGGTATCCAAAGGAAAGAAACAGTCACATGAGCTCCTCACCGATACGATTTCATCAAAAATAAAAGGTCAACATGAGAATGCCTTAACTCATCAAGAGGAGTAGGAGACCATGGGCCTATAGGGGACTCAGTCTGTTAGGCATCTACCTTTAGCTCAGGTTATGATCTCCAGGTGCTGGGATCAAGCCTCGTGTCAGACTCCCTGCTCAGTGAGGAGTCTGCTTGTCCCTCTGTCCCTCCCCCTGCTCATGCTCTCTCAAATAAGTAAAAAAATTCTTAAAAAAAAAAAAAAAAAGAGTAGCAGACCAGTCAGCCAACCTGAGGTTAGAGTCTTTTCAAAACTTGGCATTTTAGGGATGCCTGGGTGGCTCAGTGGTTGAGCGTCTGCCTTTGACTCAGGGTGTGATCCTGGAGTTCCGGGATCGAGTCCCACATCGGGCTCCCTGCATGGAGTCTGCTTCTCCCTCTGCCTATGTCTCTGTCTCTCTCTCATGTGTTTCTCATGAATAAATAAATAAAATCTTAAAAAAACAAAACAAACAAACAACAAAAAAAAAAAAACAAAAAAACCTTGGCATTCTAGGGGCACCGGGGTAGTGTAGTCAATTAAGGGTCTGCCTCTTGATTATGGCTCAGGTCATGACTTCAGGGTCATGAGATTGAGCCCTGTCCCGGGCTCTGTCCTGGGCATGGAGCCTGTTTTAGATTCTCTCCCTCTGCCCCTCCCCCTCTCTAAAAACAATAGCAAAAACAAAATGTGACATTCTAGAACACTGAATATTTAGAGAGAAATAATCCTAAACATACACTAAGTATGAACCCAAAAAGTAAAACTGTTTTACCAAATTATCCAGGTCAGGACTTGGCCAGAAACCCCTCCTTTTACCAAAACTTGCAGACCTGTCCTCCTTGGATCTGTACTTGGCCTCACTGAGGCCTTTTTGTTGTTTCAATCCAAACACCCTCAGTTTCCCACAATTCTATCCACTGTGGAAAGTGGGTCTTTTCTTTGTGAATTCTTCAACCTTGAGGGTCGAAGCTGCCAGTGCAGCTTATACCCCGACAGTCATGGCCCAGGGCTCAAAGAACGAAAGTTCCCATAGCTGTCCAAAAGCCCTGCCTTCTGGAAGGCTCAGGCTCTCAGCTGGCCTAGCTGCAGTCCAAACTCTTGGAGCCGGCTGTCTCCCCACATCCTTGAGTGCTGGCTTACCTACATGCTCCAGCACTTCTGACCAAATCGGCCCCAAAACATAAGGTGAGAACATGCCCTATGCAACCTTCCTGAAAAGAGACAACATCCCACCTGACCCTATTACCGTAGTATACATGGCCCCAGCCACTCCCAGCTCCCTGTGTTTCTGGTTCTCATTGGCAACGGGCCACTATGCCCCGAACTGGGTGAGTTAGGACAGTGATTTCTCTATGGAACCCAACTCCTCACCACACCAGCCTTACAGAGCTGGTGTGTGGATCAGAGGGCACAGTGCATGCCAAATACTGAGCACAGACACATGAGGCCAGCACTAACCTAACTCCCTGAATGCCTTACTAAGCGTTCTGTCCCTGGAAGTTCTGGAAGGACAGACAATGTTGGTGAGATCTATACTGGATCTAAGGGCAGCCACTGCTCAGCACCATGCTCGCTGGCCAGGTGAGAGTGAGAGTGAGAGAGAGAGAGATGCCTGATTCTTGCTGTGTTCCAACTGCTCCTTAGCAGAAAATGGCACCTTGGGGAATGTTGGAAATTAAGATTTGGGCTTAGAAACACTCAGTGGATCCAAGGAGCAGGAACAAACCCCAGGAGGACCCAGAGACAAACCACTGCAGTAAGCTTGAAATTCTCCCGCCAGGAGTCGCTCTGTCCCTCAAGGGAGCTGCCACCCAGCCTCAGCTGAGTCTATTGCCCAGTGTCTATATACTCCCCTAGCTGCCACCAGGATACCAAGGGCTGCCCAAGTTTACCCTTTTCCCTCTGAAGTTGTTTTGTATTTTCCTTCCTCTGAAAAGAATCAAGTATTTCTTAGAAGATGCTGCTAATAAACAGAACCCTTCGTGCCTCACCACAGCCACCTGTATGGTTTCTGGCCCCCACTGAGGGAGGCAAGCAGCAGCCATGGGCCCTGACTCAAGTCTAGATGCCAGACTCAAAATACCCCACCATGGGCACTACAGCAATGCATGCCCTCAATGCTTACCATCCCTACCCTACACCCCCCACAGCAATCCTCTTCCTGGCGGCTTTCTCAGCCCTGGACTACCCATTCCTCCCCCTCTTCACTTGGCCAATTCTTATACAGCTTCCTGAAACCTATTCAAATGGCTTCAAATGGCACCTCCATCATGAGGCTATCCCTTACCCTCCCAGCCCACCATCTTTGGATCCAGCCCCCACTCCCCCTCTATCCACATTCTCCCAGGGCAGGGGTAGGAGTCTTTAGCTAGGGCCAGCCTCAAGAAACCCAAGAACATCAGCAGAGATTCTCCTAGCTGCCCTATTACTCAGTGTGGCTCTCCCCCTGCGCACCAGCAGGAGGCTCACAGCTGTCAGTACAGACTGACCATGTCCATGACTTATGCCATTCTGAGAAAGTTTACCAACTTCTTCACAGTCATGTGAGGGGTTACATTGCTCTTTCTGCCCATATCCTATCCCGGCAAGGTGTGGGCTTCAGAGGGGAGGTACCCAGGCTTGGGACATCTGTTTCCCTACAAGAGAGCTGCAGGGTCCATCTGCAGATAAGGGACCAAGGTGGGAAAACACCTGCCTTTTAAAAGGGTAGGTCCAGGGAAACAAAGCCCCCCCACACCCTTTTTAAAGATTTTATTTATTCATGAGAGACAGAGAGAGAGAGAGAGAGAAAGAGAGAGGCGCAGAGACACAGGCAGAGAGAGAAGCAGGCTCCATGCAGGGAGCCCAATGTGGGACTCGATCCTGGGTCTCTAGGATCACGCCCTGGGCCAAAGACAGTACTAAATCGCTGAGCCACCCGGGCTGCCCACAAAGGCCCTTTTGTGTACAAATATCAACAGTTGGTTCGGAGCACACAGAGACTAAAAGTGGTCTGATCGGGCTGAGGTGCACCCTAGGAATCTACAGATTTCTACTGCTGTCTACTACTGTCTCACCTGCCTGCATGCTCACAGTACCTCTGGGGCCTGTTAAGAGAATATGAGGCTGTCATTTCTCTCCTGGTCCACCTGAAATGAATTCAGTATCTCAAATGAATAGCTATATTGAGTTTAGATCCTGTGAGCAACTTTGTCAGCAGAGAATAAACCGGGGAGGGGGACCTCAGGCAATCTTCTCTGGAGCTCAAGGGGCTCCAGATGACACCCAGTGACACTACCCTAGCAGCCACTGCAGTCTGATACAAGCTCTGAACAGACTTACCAAATTGGGTCACTGAGTGTACAGAAGCTCTCACTCTTACTATTATGCTCATACGGGACCAACGACTACACAGGGAAAAGAAATAGAGGGGAAAATGGAAAACTGGATTATAAATGCTGAAATAAATCAGGACATGGATAGCTGCTCTGGGGATATGATGTTTCATATCCCCACAGCTATGACTTTTGTCCTCAGGGCATCACCCAAGATACTGGACTTCTCCAGACAAGTTGTGTACCTGCCCAATAGTCCTGCACACATTCCCTCAAGAATGAGGGTTACCTAGAGGCACCTTTATGGTACTCTCCTTAACGTCCCATAAGGAATAAGATAGCTGCTTAGCCTTAAAAATAATACAAGAGGCACCTGGGTGGCCAGTCCATCAAGCATCTGCCTTCCACTCAGCTCGTGATCTCAGGGTCCTAGGATCGAGCTCCAGGGTGGGATCCCAGCTCAGTGCAGAGTCTGCCCGTCCCTCCTACCTTCCTACCTCCGCTTGTGTGCGCTCTCACAAATAAAACAATAAAATTTTAATAAAGGAAAGAAAACTGGCAAGCTGATAAAACTCACCGTACTCATTGTGCTCTTTGCCTCCACCCTACAGAAAAGGAAGGACCTGTCCAGAGGTCAGCAGGGAAGTTGAATGTTGACTCTTCTCAACTTCTCACACCTGCTGGTTACTCATCCTCTGGCTAGTATAGCAATCCGCTGCCCAGTAGATTTCCAGTATCTTCAAGTCCTAAAACACAATGATAACAAGGTGATAACTGCTTCCACCTGCATCATCAACAACAAAGCACAGGGCAGCCCAGGTGGCCCAGCAGTTTGGCACCGCCTTCAGCCGAGGCCGTGATCCTGGAGATCCAGGATCGAGTCCCACATCAGGCTCCCTGCATGGAGTCTGCTTCTCCCTCTGCCTGTGTCTCTGCCTCTCTCACTCTGGGTCTCTCATGAATAAATAAATCTCTTTAAAAACAACAACAACAACAACAACAACAACAACAAAGCTCAGTTCAATCCTTTACTGGTACTTTGTTGAACGCTTCATGCAACTCATGCGCTTGCTTGCATATTCTTAGGAAGCAAGCATTTTTGGGGGAGGGCGGGGGGAAGCAAGCATTCCTTTTTAAAAAAAAAAAAGATTTTATTTAAGAAGCAGGCTCCATGCCGGGAGCCCGACGTGAGACTCGATCCTGGGACTCCAGGATCGCGCCCTGGGCCAAAGGCAAGTGTTAAACCGCTGCGCCACCCAGGGATCCCAGATTTTATTTATTTATTCATGATAGACCTAGAGAGAGAGAGAGAGAGGCAGAGACACAGGCAGAGGGAGAAGCAGGCTCCTTGCTGGGAGCCTGACGCAGGACTCGATCCCGGGACTCCAGGATCACGCGCTGGGCCAAAGGCCGGCGGTGAACCACTGAGTCACCCAGGATCCCCGGAAGCAAGCATTCTTAATAGAGTATTGGACCACTTGATCCCAAAGCCTGAATTCAGACCCATTCTGCCACCGCTTGTCCTCCTTCTTGGCTGCTGAAACCCTTCTAGAGTCCTGTACCAGCTGCTGGGAAAAGACAAAAGAGAATCAGAGCTGCCACATACAGCCTTGAGGACTTCTTGCAACCAGGAAGGCGTGGAGCTTCTGAGGCCAGAGCAGAGCCCAGGTTCTCTGGCTCTTTCCACAACTTCACTGTTGCCCTCTAGAGGAGGTGATAATTTAGCTGAGGAGACAAGAGCCAGCGGCCCTGGTTCACCCTGCAGGCCTAGCTGAGACTTCCATCAGTGGCAAGAGGTGAGTGGGAAAGAACCGGGAAACCAGCAAATGAAGAGGCTGCTAGAGAACAAGGCCCCAGGGGATTTCATTCCACTGGGAGGCGGCAGCTACCCACAGTAAACTCCCTGCCAGTGAAAGGGAGCAAATAGGAAACAAAACATGGAGTTGGAAGCCAGGGGTCATCAGGGGAGAAGGGGCAAAGCTGGCTTCTAGTAGGGGAAGCCCAGGGCTACCCACAGTAAACTCCCTGCCAGTGAAAGGGAGCAAATAGGAAACAAAACATGGAGTTGGAAGCCAGGGGTCATCAGGGGAGAAGGGGCAAAGCTGGCTTCTAGTAGGGGAAGCCCAGGGCTCAGGGAGAATCAGAGACAAGCGGGGGGCTCTGTGGTTACCCACTCTGGGCGGCAGTGCTCCAGACAAGAACAAGGGTTCTCAAACTCAAGCCTGCACCAGCCTCATCAGGAAGGCGTGTGAAACCAGTCTCTGATTCAGCAGGTGCAGGATGGGACTCAAAAATCTGCATTTCTAACAAGTTCCAAGGCAGAACTAATGGTGCTGCTCCCGAGGTCCCCACCCCAGGAACCAGTGGACTAGGACCAGAGCCTTGGACTGACTGAAGGAGGCCTCTGTGAAAGGCACTGAGGTGGGAAGCAAGACAGGACCATCTCAGATCCATCCACCCTTTCATCCCCACTGCTACTACCTCCTCCTATCAGATCTCCCGCCTCCCAGGACCCCATACCACCCTACTGCCCACACAGCTTTCTAACACACACAGCTGACCACAGCAACTAGAGCACATCTCTAGAACCAGACAGCTGGGATTAGCCAGGCACCTCCAAACTCTCTGCTTGTGCCCTTGAACAAAGCACCAAACTCTGCCCTGTTTCTTCAACTGCAAAACAGGGCGGCAAACCTACCTCAACAGGTCTGTGAGGATTATAGAGGCTGGCAGAGCACTTGGAACAGTGAAGCACGTTTTAAAGGCTCAGTGGCTGTGGACTGATGTCGCTGACCCCTTCCACCAGTACCAGCCTCACAGTCCCTCCAAATGTACTAAGTGTGGCACGACTCTACCCCTCTGCTCCAGCCCCCAAGTGCTGTATAATGCGGCACCCAACCAGCTTTAAAAAAATGGTCTCCCCACCTCATTCACTTATCAGTGTGGCTCCTGTCCTGGGAACATAGCAATGAACAAACCCGGTCATTAGCTCCCAGTCTCGGTGGTGGTGGTGGTGGGGCTGACACTGGTAGAGAGCTCAGGTGTTGTAATTGGGCATATTATGTGCTAGGTGTAAGGAAACACAAGACAAGGAGAAGCCAGACAAGGTTTTTCAGAAGCACCCTCCACCCCAGAGCTTTTTTTCCAAGAGAAGCCCCTCTAGAGGGACTACCCAGCCAGCCGAGTGTCTTTTTCCATTACCTGGGGGTCTGCATGTGTCCACATCTGCTCCCCTGGCACCTCGTTGTCCACTGTGCTACTCTATGGGGAAATGTGCAGCTGCCATGCAGCATGACATCTCCTGACGGCCCTCAGCCTGGCCCGCATCATGGGGCCACACGTGCTCCTACTTTCAAATGGCACACATGTTCCCAAAGCAACGCCTCACCTGGGAAACCTTCAGCTGAGGGATCCCTGGGTGGCACAGCAGTTTAGCGCCTGCCTTTGGCCCAGGGCACGATCCTGGAGACCTGGGATCAAATCCCACATCGGGCTCCCAGTGCATGGAGCCTGCTTCTCCCTCTGCCTGTGTCTCTGCCTCTCTCTCTCTCTGTGACTATCATAAATAAATAAAAAATTAAAAAAAAAAAAAAAGGAAACCTTCAGCTGAGACCGGCATTCAGGACAGAGGCTTTGGCTGGGAGGGATCAAGACCATCCATCTGGTCTGAACAGAGGGGAAGGTGCCCCAACAGCCTCTTAAGTCTCATAAAACCACCACACTTTGTAAGATTCTAACACACCTGCTTATGTTTCTTATCCCAAGAAAAGTCTTACATTTGGGTGTATACACATGACATAGCTGTTTTGGGGAAAAGTTATCTACCTCACGGTGTGTCTTAGAATTGAGAAGAATCTTTGATTAAAATGTCACTGACAGAGAAACAAGGAGATCCGTCTATTGAATATGAAATAATTTAATGCACATCCCTGGGCTGTTCCATAAGCCTCTTGACTCCCACTTGGTTACTTTTTAGGCTTTCAAACATGGTTGTTAAGACCTGTCCTAGGACTACTGTAGAGGACCCCCTACTATTTGACCTGCATGCCCTCCTTGCTCTGACACTGCCTCCTGCAGCCCCCTAGCCCCAGCAAGACCACTGATGCCTCCCTGCATGCTTCCCTAGAGTGTTCTCATTCTCCATGCCCAAGGCCAGTCCAGCAATCCATTCCAACTGTCTGCTTCTTTTGGGAATAGGAAGAGTTAGCAGTTAAAGGGCACAGGAAGTTGGAAGGCTGGCGTTAGGGAAATCCGCGAAGGGGCAGAATTTTACCAGAGAACAGAGATGGGAAGAAGGCATTCCAAGCAGACCAGAGTGGTGACGTGGAAGTGCAATGTCTAGACTTCAGGTGAAGCCAGGGTTGCAGGAAAGGCAGCCTTCACAGCCTACAAAGTGTCCTGGATACTGCAGGTGACAGAGACCATCAGAATAGTAAGACTAACAGCTGAAGCCCAGATGTTATTTGTACTGTGTGCAAAACACTGTGCTTTCCAGACACAGTTCACGTAACAGTACCATCACCCAATAAAGGGAAAGGTATTATTAAGGTTACCATCTTATTTATTTTTTAAAAGACTTATCTGAGAGAAAGAGAGCGACTGTGTGCACGTACATGCACACACGCAGGAGGGGCAGAGGGAGGACAGAGCATCCCAAGCAGACTCCCTGCTGAATGCGATCCCAATGTTGAATATCAGTCTCATGACCCTGAGATTATAACCTGAGCCCAAAGAGTCAGACACTTAACTGACTGAACCACTCAGGTGCCCTAAGGTTACCATTTTACACACAAGAGAGCTAAGGATGATTAGGGGGTCAAATAACCTGCCCCAAGTCCACAACTACTAAACAGTTGTCTGGATTTATACCAGGGCAGTGTCACACCAGAACCCAAACTATTAAGTAAATACCATGCCAGAATCAGATGTATGAATTCTAGAAACAATTTGGAAAATGGATGTTTTCCAGGTTTTACTATGTCCAGGAAGAAACTCCTTCCAACTATACCATCACTTCATCTCAGCAGATGGCCCATAATCCTTTAGTTTCCAAGGCATGGCACTGAGAATGGCCAGGAAGGCCAGACACCAGGAATTCCTAAAGCTTTGATAGGAGAGTAAGGACAATTCACACCAAGGTATCTAGCTAGTTACACAGCAGGAGTGACGCCATAAAACTGAACTTGGGAAGGGAAAAAAGAAACAAGCGTTGAGGGTAGACAGCTTTAGTTTTAGAAATGCTAGCTATGGGATACCCAGGTAGAAAGGCATAAAGGGGGAAAAAAAAAAGGCCTAAAGGCAGCTGAAAAACTCAAGAGAGAAAACTGGAGTGGGGCAGCCCAGGCGGCTCAGCGATTTAGTGCCGCCTTCAGCCCAGGGCGTGATCCTGGAGACCTGGGATCGAGTCCCACGTCGGGCTTCCTGGATGGAGCATGTTTCTCCCTCTGCCTGTGTCTCTGCCTCTCTCTCTCTCTCTGTACTCTCATGAATAAATAAATAAAAATTGGAAAAAAAAAACTGGAGTGGAGGTAGAGATTCTAGAATCTGTTTAAATCTGCTCTTGGGTAGAGCAAGAAGAGCCTATAAGAATAAAAAGTCAGAAACAAAGCTTTGAGAAAACCTGGAGGCATCAGTTAGGCAAAGCCGGCGTTTCAAGGAATAAGCGGCAGTCAACAGGCAGGGGACCTAGAACAAGTCCAATCGGCTGGCCACAGGAAGCCAGTCACTGGTGACCAAGCAAGTGGAG